AGGTACGGTCAAACCTTGTATTATAAGTAATTTGATCTGTGAGTGTTCTGCAAGAGAAGCAAACATTTCTAAGAAATTTTAACTTGAGAAACATGCAGTATCTTTTCAGTATGAGTACTATATCATGCTAGATATCACACGATCACAACTGGTTCCTCTTTCTCTACTTTGATATAGAAGTGCTTTGGATTATAAATGGAATAAATTATTTTCACAAACCAGAGTTTCACTGTATTTTATTTTTTGACAAAGGGGCCAAAAGCATAAGATAGCCTATTTAACAAATTGTGCTGTGAAAACTGGCTGTTTTCAGATAGAAGCTAGACACATTCCTCTCACAATTTAACAAACTAAAAATAGTTCAAAGATCTAAATAGTAAAACAGCAACAATAAACCTACTGGAAGATAAAATATGTAAAACAATTGAAGTCATGTATAGGAAAGGACTTTCTGAATAGAAGAACTTCAATTGCAGAAGAAATGATAACAGGAATCAACAAATGTGGTTATACCAAGTTGAAAAGCTTCTGTACAGCACATGAAATGATCAACAGAGTGAAGAGACAACTTACAGAATGACAAAAAAAAATTTTGCCAGCTAGTCACCACACAGAGGACTAATATCTAGAATACATAAAGAATTCAAAAAACTACCCAAAATGCAAGAACCCATTTAAAAAAGGGCGAGTGAAATGGATAGCAGAATTCTGAAAAGACCTACAAATGTTCAGTAAACACGTGAAAATATATTCAATACTTTGGCCATTAAAGAAATGAAAATCAAAGCAACACTATGATTTCATCTTAAACCAAAAGAATGGCAGTCATCAAGAAATCAAGTAAGTGCTGGTATGGCTACATTGTTAATGGGAATGAAAACTAGTACCATCATTATAGAAATCAGTATGAGATTTCTCAAAGAACTAAAAGTACAAATTCCATTCAACCCAGCTATGTCCCCTCTAGGTATTTTCCCAAAAGAGCTAAAGACATCATTATAGTGATACATGAATACCAATGTTTATAGCAACACAGTTTATAATAACTATATCTTGGAAGTTGTCTGAATGGCCTTCAAGAGATGGATGGTTTAAAAAATGTGGAATTTATATACAGTGGAATTCTCAGCCATAAAGAAGAATAATTTTTTGACATTAGGCAAATGTATACACTTGGAAAATATAATGTTAAGTGAATTAAATCAGAAACACAGGCTTAAATACCATATGGTATCTCATTTGAATAAGTTAAGGTGTAATGGATTGATTGAAGGAAACTGGGAGGTAGATATTTTGCAAATGGGAATGTTCTAAGAGATAGGGCAAGGGGAGGAGAGGGAAGAGAAGGGGAAATTAAAAGATTTAAGATATATCATGTATATGTACCAACTACCACAGTGAATGTAAACATTATATATTACGAACATGAACTAAAAAGCATGCGGAAAGGAGAAGGAAAATCTAGAGATGGAGGAAGGAGTTTTTTAAAAAAGTCAAGATGTGTTATGATGTTCATGTACCTACTCCCTAAGATGAACAAAAACCTCATGTATTACAAACATGTAATAAAATAAAACCAAAATATTATTTTTATATTTGTTTCATCTCTTAATGTTAATATATGCATGTTATACATAAATGTACAAATATGTTTACATGCAGTTTTCTTCTGTAAACATGTAATAAGTACATTCATATGCAGAGAATATGTATAACATTTTTCTTTAATACAATTCATTAGGATTGCTTTTATTTTATTTATTTATTTTTTCATTAGGATTGCTTTTAGATTTATAGGTTAAACCAAAGTATTGATAGCTCCCTTTTTTGACACAATGAAATACCAATCCTAACTTGCTTTTTATATTTTAACATCTTTGAAATTGGGATATATCTATATGTAATGGCGTGACAATTTAATTGGTATAATTTCCCTTCTCAATGATATTTAAAATATGGTTCATCTGTTTTTAGTGAATTGATATATGTTGAGAGTGAATAAATTGTTTTACAAAATATAGGAGTAGAAGAATGTAGTATTTCTAAATTAATGTTTTATTGTATGTTCCACTTTGTTTATGTATTTTATTTTTGACAGTACTGGGGATTAAACCTAGGGCCTCAGGCATGGTAAGCAAGTGCTCCATCACTGAGCTACATCTTCTAGCTCTTTTTGTTTTATGTTTAGACAATATGTCTCTTAAGTTACCCAAGCTGGCCTCAAACATGAGATCCTTCTGCCTCAGCATCTCAGGTAGCACGATTACAGTCATATGCCACTGTACCTGACAATGCATTCTATTTTAGATAAATGTGTAAATGAGTATATTTCCTATAATAATTAATTTGACTTTTTTTAACCTACATCCTGGGTTTATTTAAGTTTATCTAAAAAATTATGGTTAAAGGTTTTCATTGGGAAAATAAGCTCTATATTTCAGAATAATTTATACTGGAATTACACTTAGGTATAATTTAGGTATCATTATATTTAGTTATCTATGGCTGATGTAACCTGAAAATGTAAACCTAGGTAGGTATTTGCACTTTCTACATTTGAATATTTTTCTTTAAAGATACCCTGAAGTGATACTGAATTTAATGTCTTCAAAGATCTTTCATATAGAATTGAGCTATATAAAGCTTTGGCAAAAATTGCTGTATAATTCATGAGGAAAATGATTGCTTAGGAGAGAATTCCCTTTTAAATTTATGGTTGTACATATTTGATCTATGAAGTACAGTATCAAAAAACTCTCTTAATGTAATTGATGTAGAAGAGAAATGATTGGGGCTGCTGCTGGTAATTGTGCAGAGTCATATAATATATGTTTTGCTTTGAGGAGAATGTGCTTTACAAAATAAGAAAACAAAAAAGGGAAAGATGCTGAATTATTACAACTGAAGATGACTGGTTCTTTATCTGATCCTGCTTGCTTCTGCTTGCTGTCTGGAGAAGCTGCCCTCTCCCATCCCGCTTCTCTTGATCAGTTTCACTGATTTCATTTAATAGGAGAATACATTACATAAGTTTGCATAGCATTTTTATTATGTTGTCATCCCAAAGTTCCTTGCGAGCACAGTACCTCATAATTTGTTACTATTCTTTTACTGGAATATTTTTAGTGGCTTACTTAATTTTTTACTTAAATGTGTGAACATTAGAAATTACAGACAAAATGAGAACCAAGATCTGTCATGTAAGGGTACAAGATCCCAATGATGAATGTAACTGTACTGTATACTTAAAAAGTACCAATAAACTCAATAAAAAAGAAAAAAATTACAGTTATTCCTTGTGCAGAATATTTTCCTCTTAAATTTATTCCCTAAGAGTTACAGTTTGGTGCTAAGGTGAGATATGATTCATAAACAACAAAATTGATAAAATATGATTAAAATTGCTTGCTTTTGGAAAACCTCATTTCCCCCCCTGGATTTACCCATATTGTGCATAAAGTCTTTCATCCATAGGAGATTTTATCAATATTAATCTAAAATTATTCTAACTTTCCGCATCATAGCCACAAAAACAAATCACTAAGAACAATCATTTAGAGATTGGTCTTTTTTTTGCCTTTGGACAGTGTCGGCTTTTGACACTATCTTGTATATGCTAAAGTTCCACAGAATTTTATAAATTCTAAAAGGAATATCATAGAGCAGATAAATTTTCCCACATGATATAAAAGCAGCATCCTTATCCTGAACTTGATATTAATCCTCTGTGAGACCATGAGCATGTTACTTTTTGTTTTTCATTTCATTTTATATAATGGAAATAATGAATATTATCCTACTTTTAAAAATTCTTATGACTTCTACAACTTTGCTTATAAATGTGTGCTGAATTAGACTTGTGCGCCAGTTCAGTATGCTTTTTAAAATGTTAAAGTACAAATTAAAATTATGTTTGCATTCAAGAAATAAAGCTTTTAGTTTCAATTATTGTTTAGTTTTTTTTTTTTAAAGATAAGGCCTCACTATGTGGTCAAGGGTTGATTTTGAAGTCACTAGGTAGTCCATTCTGGCCTCAAACTCATAGCAGTTCTTCTGCCTCAGCCTCCCAAATGTCAGGATTATAGGCATGCACCACCACACCTGGCTATTTTCAATGTTTAAAGTAAAAACTTAGACTGTGAAGACAATCTGGATGGCATTTACAATTAGAAATCTTAACTACTGTAAGATAATTTCAGTGAAATTGATTATTTTTAGAAAGAGAACACTGCCTGTTATTATGTGAAAGGCAATAATGAATCATAGGGGCTTCATGCTGTGTGCTATGTAGCAATATTAAGCATATTGAATTTCTACTGCTGAGCCACATTGGGAATGCCTTGATGCTTATAGATCCATATGTGTTCATTATTGTCTTTAGATTGCACCAATCAAGGATTTTGTAGATTTGAAGTGAGAAATATTGGTTGTAACTAGGGAAAAGGGCTTTTTGAAAATTTAAGAAAATAATTTCAGATTCTTCCATGTAAATTAGAGTTCTGTATTCTACAGAGTAATTAAAGCTGCCAATGTTTTTCTGCCTTTTCTTTTGGATAACTTAGATTCTTTTATTGGAATGGAGTAGATAGCACTAGTAGGTTTACATGATGATGGAAGTATACAAAATAGCTAATTGTGTTTGTAAAATCACTTAATTCTAGTTCTAGTTACTTAAATGAGAGGAAAATATTTACCCTTCTCTTCTTTAATGTTTGAGAAATTGCTTTTATTGCTGTTCCAGGAAATGTTAAAGTTTAGACAAAAATTTTTCTTTAAGAAATGTTAAAGCATGATGGTGTAATCTAATAATAAAATTCACTTGTTGAGTGTTGAGAATCTGAAAGTACTAATTTTAGTGCCTGTGCCGAATCTTTGTGACTCTGTTTCTTTATTTCTGTGCTTTATATTTTGTCTATGTCTATGAATAACAGTATTTTCAATATTAATTGTTTCTAACTTTCTCTTGCACGTTTTCTTCTTGGATTTGCTGTTCCCTTCAGTCTCACCTCAAGGTCAGTATGCTTGCACTAAAACAGAGATAATATAATTGAGCATTGTTTACTAACATTGTCTTCAGTGCTGCCAAAAATGACAGAACTTATTCAGAAAAGAAATGTCTAGAAATCTAGTCATGAGTGCATAGAATGTCAGGAATATTAGGGGTATCAGAAGACTGGATCCACGTTTTTTTGCTTTGAATCATAATCAGTGAGGAAGAATTATACTAATTTGGATTTTGTGAGAGAACTGGACATGTTAAGGACCACCAGGGCAATAATGAATAAAAAATTGTTTTATATTTAGTTATCATTTCATCAGAGGTATTTTTGGCTGTTAGCAGGATAAAGTACAGCAAGAGTGATGGAGGAAAAGTAGACATGGTCTATGAGTTTATATACAGTCTGGAATTATTCCACTAGTCTTCATATATACACACCCGTTTACTCTTTGGTTTTATTTTGTGATTCTGCTAAACTGTAGAACTTGCACCTCTCTCTTGGTAACCCAGCCCAGTGTGTAAAATAAATCGAGTTTTTAGAGATCAGCAATATCAAAATTTACATCTTTACACATCTTTATATTGCTTTTGTTTCAGCAGAGCTAGTATTTCAGTTCTTTTCCAAAACTAATTATTTTTAATCTTTTTAAACCAGTTTTTAGAACCTTGTTCCTACATTAAATCTTTTATTATTGTTTTCTTTCCACTGAGTTTCTCATACATAAGTCATATCATACTTTTCCCATCCCTAAACAAAAAGTTAAATAATCTTTCTCAATGTCAGTTTTTTTGCCTGAATCAACATAGTTTCTTTTTATGCCTTTTATTATTTGTTTTATTTTTCATTTACTTGGACCACTGTTGAAATAATGACAATCTTTGCTTGCTCTCTCCACTTCCATACTTTCGGTTTATTTGCAAACCAGTCTAATTGGGATTCTTCTCTCATTGCTTTGCTAAAATTGCTTCAGTGATGTATTCACTAGTTGCCAAATTCAGTGAACTTTTCTTAGGAGTGAGTACTTGACCTCTCTGGGTGTTTGATATTATTGTCTGTACTACTTCCTTCTAGAAACTTACGTAGTTTATATGATGTTTTCAACTAACTCTTGTTAGACCATGTCAGTGTATTCAGTCTGTTTTGCTTTTCATTTTTTGTGTCACTTCACTATTGCTATCTCTCATATTCTTTTTGAATGTTCCTTTTTCACCTCTGTTATTGCTGTAGTGTCTTGTTACCAGTGACAGCATAAAAGATCCAACAATTGCTGGATGACTCAAAACAAAACAAAGAAATAAAAAAACAAACCCTGAGAATAAGTTAAAGAAAGGTTATAAGGTGGCACAAGTATAGAAAAATCTTACTTGCTAAAATTGTAGAAAAATTTTCAAATCTAGGTAAAATAATGACTGTCCAGGTAAATGAGGCATGTAGAACCTCAAACAGTCATAAGCAAAAGTTAACCTCTCCTTGATGCATCATAGTCAGAATCCCAGAAGTTTATCAGAATATGAAAAAGATGAAGTGACTTTTAATAGGACCCTACTGCAGACTGATCACAGCCATCTATGATGAATTCACTGCCAGCATCATATTAAATGGGGAAAAGCTGAAAACATTCCTTCTAAAATAAAGAGCAAGACAAGGATGTCCCACTCACCACGTCTCTGCAATATAGTTCTCAGAACTTTAGGCTGAGCAGTCTGGCAAGAGAAAGAAAGAAAAGAAATACAGATGGGAAAAAGAGAAGTCAGACTGCCTTTATTTGCAGATGACACATCTTTTACACGTAAGATCCAAAAAATAACTACAAAAAGTCTGTTAGAACTAAAGAACAAATGCAGCATAGTGGCAGGTTGCAAAACACCACACACAAAATGAAATTTTCCTGGGCATCAGTGATGAACCCACCAAAAAAGAAATCAAAAAACAATCCCATTCAAGGGAACTTCAAAAAATTAATACATACATACCCAGGAATTAAGCAAACCAGGAAATTGAAAGACTTTTTGTGATTCTTAACGTTTATACATCAACTTGACTTGAATAAGAACCCTCTACCAGATTAGTGAAGAAGCTCTTGGGTGTGTCTGTAGATGATTGATTGACCCATAAATTCTTTCTGAAGAGGACACCAATCAGTAGGCTTGTAGCTGGGACAGAATAAAACAGGAAAAAAGAAGGAAGTCTTCACTTTTCTTCAGAGAAGCTCCAGTCTTTAGTACTGCCTTTGGACTTTCACTGCCACTTCCTTCAGGTTTCTATTGCCTTCTTTGCAGCCTTCTAACACAAATCCTTCAGCTTTCTGACATAAACATACACAGAACTCTTCATTCATTTCCAGACCTTCCACCATGAACTAGATCCTCTAGCTCTCCAGGCAACCATTGTAAGCCTACTAGTAAATTCTTTATATAATCATAAATGTGTGTTATTTTGTGTGTAGAATCTGTTCTTCCTAGTGAACACTTAACTGATAATGCTTTTATAATGAAAACTATAATACTCTGAAGAATGAGTTTCAAGAGAATATTCAAAAGTAGAAAGACCTGTAGTTCCAGCATATGGAAGGTGGAGGCAGGAGGATCACTGCCAGTTTGAGGCCAGCCTGGATGACATAGTGAGTTTTAAAAACCAAACCAAAACAATTAAAAGAAAGAAGCTGATTATTGGCCAGGTATAGTGGTGCATGCCTATATTCTCAGTGTTTGGGAGCCTAAGGCAGGAAGATCACTGTGAGTTCAAGTATGGCCTGGGTTACATAGTAAATTCAAGGCCAGCCTCAACTATGCAGTGAAACCTTTTTTCAAACAAAACAAAGCATAACAAAAAAGACATCTTCTGTTCCTTCATAGGCAGAACAAGTTCTGTCGAAGTGGCCATGTTAGCAAAAATAATATATACCAGTGATATGAACCATTTGGAGCTGTCAGTGATACAAGCTGCTGCTGTGGCAGGTGTGCCATTAGTTCATCATCACTGATAAATAGGTTGAATGCAATTCAAATCAAAGTACCAGCTACATTCTTCACAGAACTAGAAAAGACAATCCTAAAACTTATATAGAATCATAAGAGACCCAGTAAATGCAAAGCAAACCTGAGCAAAGAGAGCAAAGTGGGAAACATTACAATCCCAGATTTCAAACTGTATTACAAAACTACACTAAAATAGGAGTATGGTAGTTTCACAAAAATAGACATGTTGATAAATGGAATAGAATTGATGCAAAAACACCCTATGCACCTTCAGCCATCTATTTTTTTGACAGAGGCAGAAAACATAATATTAGTTACTTTTCTCATTGCTGAGACAAAATACCACCTGAACTTTAAGGAGGGAAGGTTTAATTCTTCTCATCCTGTAGAGGTTTTACTCCATAGTTGGCTTGTTCCAAGGCAAGGTGGCATGGTAGAGGTACATCGCAGAGGAGAAACAGAACATGGCCTAGCAAGCAGAAGACAGCAGCTGCAGTCACCAAGTCTGCCTTTCCCTTTTATTCCATTCAAATTACAAGCCATCCATACCCAGGGTGGGGCTTCTGTTTCCAATAAATCCATTCTCCCACACCCAGAAGTACTAATTTCCATTAGTGGACTAATTTAGTACCACACCCTTAATTCCAGTATCACAACAATTAGTCTATCCTCATACACCCTAGATACTGCCACCTCTGAAAAGCCCCACCTGTGACTGCATGAAGATTTAGGGAGATGTCTAGAAACAGACTATAACAACTGGAGAAGAGATATCCTCTTCAACAGATGGGGCTGGGAAAACCACTTATCCATATGTAGAAGAAAAAAATCAAGATCCATAACTCATACACTGTATTACAATCAAACCAAAAGGGATCAAAGACATATAAAAATAGAAACATAAGGGCTGGGGATTTAACTCAGTGGTTCTGCCGCCTGCTTGCAAAGGTCTGAGTTCAATCCCGTGTACAAAAAAAAAAAAAAAA